TCCCAACACTTAGCCAATTCTGTGGCTTCCAATATGGCATGTCTGTGATTCACCTTCTGAAATGTTATCTGTATGTAAGCACACAAAGATGTACATCTTGACTGTTACTGACGACATCTCTCCACGACCCCCATTTCAGAAACTGAAGTGTTGTAAGATTCCACTTGACAGCTGTCGCGGCAATTTTGTTTGTAGCCAATCCTTGCTCAGGCTTTTGCTATCGCACCTAATGCACATCCTTCTTTGACGATATGAGAGGTGGCGGCGGGTGAACATCGAAGGGACGAATCACAATCGTCGTCACCTTGCAAGCTTCGAGCTTCGCTGGTGCACCAGCACAGCAGCGAAGTTGCCTGCTCACCACCCTGCTAGAGCACCAAGGTTCTCGCTTATGCGAGTTAAAGTCGAGAGAACTTCAGCTCTCTGTCAGTAGAGCTACACTGTGAGATCCCCGATCGATCCTAGGGAGGGTTACAGGCGCGTTTGCCTGGGGGGTTATGGGCGCACTGACCCGCTACTGAAACAAGCCCTTTTATCCCAATGGTCTAGTGGTTGGGATTCTGACATGGTATCAGAGCGGTCTCGGGTTCGATTCCCGGTGTATGCACATGTAGGCCGTTGCCGCTGTGCTTAGTCCTGGGCCTCCCAGTGTGGGGGGGTGTCAGTAGAGCTACACTGTGAGATCCCCGATCGATCCTAGGGAGGGTTACAGGCGCGTTTGCCTGGGGGGTTATGGGCGCACTGACCCGCTACTGAAACAAGCCCTTTTATCCCAATGGTCTAGTGGTTGGGATTCTGACACTCTCCCCCCCAGTAATTCGCCATTCCACTTCCGCGGCCTTCAATCGGTTGTCAGCGCCAGTGCCGGTGCCAGTCGTAGCAGCCGTAGTGGCTGGTTCATATTCTTATTTTGTTGCCATCGCCTTTCTGCATATCTTCAGCTCTCGTTGTGCGTCTTACTCAAATGTATTCGCCACTACTCAAATGTTTGCGCAGGCAGTCATCTTCTCGAAGTCGTCGTGAGTCGTGAGTTGGCGCATAAGGACCGTGGTATTTCCCTTATTGTCGCGCAATTCTGCACGGTGTTATCCTGATTTTCCGTCCAACCTACTGCGCCTTCGCTTTGCTTGCGTTGTCTGTTTCTTGTGTTATGTTTCTCTGTACTACGCAGGAATTGTATGACAAGTGTCCTTCTCAACCCGTGGTGAGAGGCAGGGATTTGCTAATTGTGTTCTTTTTGCAGGTTGCGTAATTCCTGGCGATTCCGCACGGCAGGTGGTTGCCGCTCTTTGTGATTGCTACTGTTAATGTTTGACCGGAGGCTGTTGATGTTAATCCCGTTTTCCAGGATTGGTATTTGTCGTCTCAAGGCTTGCTAATGTGCAGGACCGGTGACATACCTATGTTAGGTCGCAATAGTGACGTCATGGCGGTTCGTTGAGTTGACGGGAATTATTTAAAGATTGGTTTTGTCGTGCCTTGTTAATGTTCAATATACATATTTATTCGAGTACTGGCCATCGAAAAGTAAATATGGGATGCTAATATTACAGTTGATGTTACAACTAGTGTATTAGGGTAACTGTTGTTACCACATAAATTAAACAATACGTTTATAACAACCGTTGAGTAATATTTGTCAGAATATATCTGTAACTGCCTGTAGCTCTAGTTAGTGTAGTTACTTTAAACTTTGTTTGGTGGTGCACCATCTTTGTTTCCTTTGCTATATGTTCTTGCAAACCTATAGTGAAGCCCTCTTTCTCCTCTCTCAACTTTCTCGACTTTCATCAACCCTAAACCTAAGCTACTAAGGCAACTAGAATGGCTCCTAAGCCTACTAAACTCTAGGAACTTCAACATGGTATTCAAAGCAGGTACTTTCCTACTGCCTTCCTGCTTCCGCTGCCTATCGTCCTGCCGCGCGGCGTGGCGCACGGCGATTTTCTGCCCGCCGTGTGCTCGGGGCGCACGGCGGGCTTTTGCCCGCCGTGCGCCCTGGGCGCGTGGCGTCTTCCTGCCCCGCGCGTTGCCTGCCCTCACGCCGCCTGCGCGCCTGCCTCACGTCCACGGGCGGGCCTGTTTTGCCAGCCCGTACCCTCCACTTCGCGGCGCCCTGCGAGGCGCCGCTCCTGCTCGTCGCGACGCACCTGCGGGACCCGGGCGTCGCCGCTCCTGCTCGTCGCGACGCCCCTGCAGGACCCGCAAGGCGTCGCCTTGCTCGTCGTGACGCCACTGCGGGACCCGCGGGGCGTCGCCACTGCTCGTCGCGCCGCCCCCTGGACGCCGCCCCTACTCGTCGCGGCGCCCCTGGGGCGTCGCCCCTGCTCGTAGCGACACTCCTTGGGCGCCGTCCCTGCTCGTCGCGGCGCCCTCCCCCCTGCCTCACCTGCGCCCGCACCAGCATTGCAGCCGAGCGCGGGCCTACCTTGCACCAGCGCCGCCCCTGGACCTCAGCAGCAGCCCCTGGAGCAGCCGCCCCAGCAGCAGCAGCCCCTGGAGCCGCCGCCCCAACAGCAGCAGCCCCTGGAGCCGCCGCCACTACAGCGGCCGCCCCAGCAGCAGCAGCGCCTGGAGCAGCCGCCCCAGCAGCAGCAGCCCCTGGAGCCGCCGCCGCAACAGCAGCAGCCCGTGGAGCCGCCGCCACTGCAGCGGCCGCCCCAGCCGCAGCAGCGCCTGGAGCAGCCGCCCCAGCAACAGCAGCCGCCTCTGGACCCCGCGAGCCGCCCCAGCAGCAGCCCACGGCGCCGACCCCACAGCTGTATGCGCCGCCGCTCCTGGACTCGGTACGGCTGCCCTTGCCTGTGCTGCCTGTTGCCGCCCGTTGCTGCCTGTGCCTGTGCTACCCGTTGCTGCCTGTTGCTGCCCGTGCCTGTGCTGCCTGTTGCCGCCCGTTGCTGCCCGTGCCTGTGCTGCCTGTTGCTGCCCGTGCCTGTGCTGCCTGTTGCCGCCCGTTGCTGCCTATGCCTGTGCTGCCTGTTGCTGCCCGTGCCTGTGCTGCCCGTTGCCGCCCGTTGCTGCCCGTGCCTGTGCTGCCCGTTGCCGCCCGTTGCTGCCCGTGCCTGTGCTGCCCGTTGCCGCCCGTTGCTGCCCGTGCCTGTGCTGCCTGTTGCTGCCCGTTGCTGCCCGTGCCTGTGCTGCCTGTTGCTGCCCGTGCCTGTGCTGCCTGTTGCCGCCCGTTGCTGCCTGTGCCTGTGCTGCCCGTTGCCGCCCGTTGCTGCCCGTGCCTGTGCTGCCTGTTGCTGCCCGTGCCTGTGCTGCCTGTTGCCGCCCGTTGCTGCCTGTGCCTGTGCTGCCCGTTGCTGCCTGTTGCTGCCCGTGCCTGTGCTGCCCGTTGCCGCCTGTTGCCGCCCGTGCTTGTGCTGCCTGTTGCCGCCCGTTGCTGCCCGAGCCTGTGCTGCCCGTTGCCGCCCGTTGCTGCCCGTGCCTGTGCTGCCTGTTGCCGCCCGTTGCTGCCCGTGCCTGTGCTGCCTGTTGCTGCCCGTGCTTGTGCTGCCTGTTGCCGCCCGTTGCTGCCTGTGCCTGTGCTGCCCGTTGCTGCCTGTTGCTGCCCGTGCCTGTGCTGCCCGCTGCCGCCCGTTGCTGCGCGTGCCTGTGCTGCCCGTTGCCGCCCGTTGCTGCCCGTGCCTGTGCTGCCTGTTGCCGCCCGTTGTTGCCCGTGCCTGTGCTGCCTGTTGCTGCCCGTGCCTGTGCTGCCTGTTGCCGCCCGTTGCTGCCCGAGCCTGTGCTGCCTGTTGCTGCCTGATGCTGCCCGTGCCTGTGCTGCCCGATGCCGCTCGTTGCTGCCCGAGCCTGTGCTGCCTGTTGCTGCCCGTGCCTGTGCTGCCCGTTGCCGCCCGTTGCTGCCCGTGCATGTGCTGCCCGTTGTCGCCCGTTGCTGCCCGTGCCTGTGCTGCCCGTTGCCGCTCTGCTGCTGTCCGCGCCCTTGTGGGCTCTGGTCTGCCTGTGCCCTCGTGCGCTCTGTTCTGCTCTGTCGCCCCTGCCCCCCCCCCCTCCCCTCTTCTTCGTCTCCTTGCTGCGCGTGCAGCCGTGGAACGGAGGCTCTGGGGGTGGCGGGTATGGGGGTGATGGGTGTGTGTGATCCCCTTCCCCTCCTCCTCCTTTCTCTCCCACTGCTGCAGCTGCCGCAGGGGGGGGTGGGTGTGAGGGTGTGGGGGAGCTGGGAGAGAGGTGCTAGGGTTGTCAAGGAGTGTGGAAGGGGGAGTTGGAGGACTGAGGAAGGTTCCAGGAAGCAGCCGCCTTGGAGCCAGCAGCTTCACCTGCCAGCAACCTCTCCTCATATAGTCCCTCCTCCTCACTTGCCCTCTCCTTCTGCTGCGCTTGGTGTACCCCTTCAGGGGGTGTCTCTGCATTAGCTTCTGCTGCAGGCAGTTATGGGGGAGTGTCAGAATATATCTGTAACTGCCTGTAGCTGTAGTTAGTGTAGTTATTATAAACTTTGTTTGGTGGTGCACCTTCTTTGTTTCCTTTGCTATATGTTCTTGCAAACCTATAGTGAAGCCCTCTTTCTCCTCTCTCAACTTTCTCGACTTTCATCAACCCTAAACCTAAGCTACTAAGGCAACTAGCAATGGCTCCTAAGCCTACTAAACTCTAGGAACTTCAACAATATTGCGGTAACAAGGCTATCGACGTGGCGTAACAATGGATACTGTAACAGTTACAACCCTTTGGTAACCATTGTGTTACTGTAGCGCCGCCTCGGCCGCTATTTGATCCGTTGTAAGCAAATCTAGAATCGCGTACTGAAACATTTGTTTCACCAATGCAGGTTCACATTCCATTTATCAGTGAGAAATTACATAGTGTCGAGCTACTCTATGGCGAACCATCCTACCTCGACAAAGTCACAAATGTTTTGCTGGAACCCGAAACTCTGCACCCGAAAAACCATCGCAAAAATTCCCCCAGCGATGTCATTCAAACCTCAAGGGAGTGGCCGGCATGCTGTTTTACACACAGGTTCACCTTCCGATGGTGTCTCAATAGGCGCCGTACAGATTGAAGATGCCGATGGGCGACGGTGGTGTTTTAGGAGCGAGAACCGTGCTGGCGGTGAGGGATATTAAGGTTGACGCCATGACGGAGCCGCTGCTCTGCCATCGACTGGAGAAGGATAACTTCCCCGTGGTGCGTGCTGCTGACGTGGCGTGTGCTGCTGACGTGGTGTCTGATGCTGATATGCAGCTTGTCCTGCTGTTATGGGGCTTGTTTCAGCTGACTTGGTGCATGCGCTGCTGACGTTCGCCCATCCGTCCTCTTTCCCACCCCCGCGCTTTATCCACGTGTCAGGCATTGAGAGGAGCAGTGGCTGATTGGCCGGCGGTGGCCCAATGGGACCTCATCAACAGCTCTCACGCACGGGGATACTTGCAGGTGCACGACTTTCCATGTAGCACTTTGCTTTTGGGCGTCTGGGGAGTTCTGTGTTTGGCTTTTCTGCTATATTCCACACGCTCAGGCTCAGCTACCCTTTTGAGGCGCCTCAAAAGGCGTCTGGGGAGTTCTGTGTAAGGCTTTTCTGCTTCATTCCACGCGCTCAGGCTCAGCTACCCTTCCTTCGCCTGTCCCCCCTCCCCCCCCGTCTTCCCCCTGCACACCAATCACCATCCATCTCCCATTGCGTGCAGCTTATCATGACCCGCACAGAGCCGCTTATCTCTGCCACGCGCTCAGATGCTCCTGCTTCGCCTGCTTCACCCCCCCTTCCCCCTCTTCCCCCGCGCACACCAACCCCCTTCTTTCTCCCATTCCATGCAGCATCTGGTGGGATCAGCTCCCGTGCAGCTCATCACGACGCACTCGGAGCCAGCGCATACAGCATACTGCTACCACGCGCTCAGATGCTCCTACTTCAGAGTGTTTTTGAGAATTCTCAAAAACACCCTGTTTCGTCTCCCCTGGTACACCATCTCCCTTCCTCTCCCATTCCATGCAGCATCTGGTGGGATCTGCTCCCGTGCAGCTCATCATGACCCGCACAGAGCCACACATCTCTGCCATGCGCTCACAACAATCACATAGGGCGCAGTCACATGCGACACAGTCACATACGGCTCAATCACAAGCCTCGCAGCAGCCATTTGCTTACTTCGATGGGGCATTGCGCAAGCACGAGCGGGTGAGTCCTTATCTTTCTGCTGCTTTGCGCCGCCATGCATGCTTTCATCAATCAGTCTAAGGTACTATAGAAGTCAAGCTTCGCTTTTGCACATGCATATCAGTTGCTGCGATGGTTTAGGCTTTCAGAACTTGCCTTGCATCTGAAATCGTGAGAAAAGAAGCATTCTTATTTCGCCTATATTCCTCTTTGGACCAAAGCATCCTTCATCTTTCAAAGCATCCTCCTTTGAGCAGCAAAAATCTCCTCACCCTCCTACTCCTTATATTGCTCATGTTTCGTACCCAGGTAGCAGCAACATTTTCTGATGCTCTTGCACTTGCGTGTGCGTCTCCCCTTGCTGTGGGAGCTGAAGCAAGTGCCAGTAGGGGAAGCCACAGTGTTGCAGCTGCCACTCCTGCCACGGGTACTGCTAACAGTGGTGTTGTCACTCCTGCCCCTCCAGCCTCCGGTGCTCCTGGGAATGGTTCTGCTGGCAGTGCTGAGGAGAAGGGAGACGGGGTCCGGATGCAAGGGGGTGAGGGGAAGTGGAGTGCTGGTAGTGCTTGTGCTGCTGGTGGTGCTGCTGGTGGTGCCGGTGCTGCTGGTGCGGCTGCTGCTGTTGGGAATGGTGCTGCTGGCAGTGCTGAGGAGAAGGGAGACGGGGCCCGACCGCAAGGGGGTGAGGGGAAAGGAACTGAGGCGGGAGGGGGCGAGGAGGAGCAGGGCGGTGGGTTGCAGGAGATGATACGAGCCATGGCGTCCGGTGCAGCTCCACTGGCGTTCTACCTCGCCCAGGTGTGTTTCTGTAGCAAGTGAGGGCTCTAGGCTAGGCAGTGATGAGGAAGAACAGAGCAGGTCTTGAGTGAGACCATTAGGCTCTTGAGCTGCGTCCGGTGCAGCTCCACTGGCGTTCTACCTCTCCCAGGTGTGTTTCTGTAGCGAGTGAGGGTCAGTGGAGCTGCCAGTGTTTCTAAGCTAGGCAGTAATGATGAAGCACAGAGCAGGTCTTGAGTGAGACCATTAGGCTCTTGAGCTTGGGGGCATCTCATGGCAGAGCAACTCTGTGGGAGAAGAGCGGGCAGTGTGGCGTATGCCATGGACCGTACGCCATGGACCGTACGCCATGGACCGTACGCCATGGATCGTACACCATGGAGCAGAGGGGGTTATGGTACGATCCATTCCCACAACCCCCCTTTGCAACTTTCTCTCCGCCCCCCTACTCTCCCCGCTCTCCCCCCCAAACATTCTCCCCATGTGCCACGCACATTCCATGAGGAAAACCCCACCTGGGATCGACAGCAGTCACACGGATCAGTGCTCATGAGTGAAAAGAGAAAGTTTTGAGACGTCTCAAAAGTCCTCTCTTTACACGTAACCCCATCTGAGATCGACAGCAGTCACACGGATCAGTGCTCATGAGTAAAAAGGGAACTTTTGAGACGTCTCAAAAGTCCTCTCTTTACACGTAGCCCCATCTGAGATCGACAGCAGTCCAGCAGTGGGAAGGATTGTACTAGCAAAGAGACGACAGTCACATGGGCAGTTCCCGCGTGCATTGAAGTGTATTTTGAGGAGCCTCAATATACACGTCACATGGGCAGTTCCCACTCACCTACTCTCCCCCACCCTCCCCTTTCTCCCCTTTCTCCCCTTTCTCCCCTTTCTCCCCTTTCTCCCCTTTCTCCCCTTTCTCCCCTTTCTCCCCTTTCTCCCCTTTCTCCCCTTTCTCCCCTTTCTCTTCCTTCCGATCCCTCCCACATTCTTCCCACATGCCTCACTCACATCACATCACCTATACCCGTTGCAGAATCCCATCTTGGTTTTGAGTCGACTCAAAACTTCTCCCACCTCCCATCCCTCCCACATTCTTCCCACATGCCTCACTCACATCACATCACACATACCCGTTGCAGAATCCCATCTTCAACCGCCAGCAGCCACATCAACAATTCCCACTCTCGCCCTTGCTGCAAGATGCTCCTATCGTATGCTAACCAGGATTCGCAAAATCTCCTTTCGAGTAGGCATGAGCATGGGCTGGGCAAGGGCGCGGCCGACCAGAGTGGCCGCGTATCAACTCATTCCTAAATCACTTTTGTGTGGCTGAATACCAAGCTATTCCAGGCTTCACACTACTCTTTCGAGTAGGCATGAGCATGGGCTGGGCATGGGCGCGGCCAGAGCGGCCAGAGTGGCCACTTGTTGAATTTGCCTGGCCCGGCCCGACCTATTTACCGTTCAATTGCGAAGTCTGTATATTAGACAACTTTTTCCGCTGCTGCCGTTGTTGCAAGCTCATTGTTTTGATGCCAGTTGTTAACGTTTTACGTTTTCCAATCCAGCATCCCCCATTGCCTGCCCCTTTCGCCTGTCCAGCCATCGGTGCTAGACGCAGATGGTACTTTTGAGAATTCTCAAAAGTACCATCGGTGCTGGACGCATCTCGCCTGACGTTGGCCATTCTGTTGCAAGATTGCTGCTTTTTTTTTTCTTTTTTTTTCTTTTTTTTTTTCTTTTTTTTTTTCTTTCTTTCTTTTTGGTGAACATGTTACATCTTTTAATTCAAAATATGCTAACTGCCTGCCCCTTTCGCCTGTCCAGCCATCGGTGCTGGATGCATCTCGCCTCACGTCGGCCAATCTGTGGATGACACTTGGCGGACCCTCCTCCTCCTCGCCTCACTACGACCTCTTTCACAACCTGCTCTGCATTGCGACCGGCTCTAAAACAGGTGAGGATGGTGGTGCTGCTGCTGACTGCGCTGCATTAAGGATTGCCCCTCTTTTCCTCCCATCCTTTCGAAGTCATTCTGATGTACTTTGAAGCTTCAAGCTACCAGCTTATGAACAATTTCATCTCAATCTCTTCGTTCATGACACGGCTTCCCTTCTTCCTTCTACTATTCCTTCCTGCCACATGTAGAGAGGGTGTTTTTGAGACGGTCTCAAAAACACCCTCTCTAAACGTTCCTGCCACATCCTTTCCGAACCAGAGAAGCTTGGCTATGGTGCCATTTCCCGTTTCCTGTCCTTCCTTTCATCCCACTGCTGATTCCGTCCCCATGCATCTCTCGGCACCCCACCCGACCACTCTCTACCACACTGCACCAGGACAGGTCGTCTATGGCCCCTACCAGCAGCTCAAATTTTGTTTCTTTTCCCCCTTCTTCTCAAATTACTCGTGCTCTCCCCCTTCCCTTGATACCCTGCGTAACCGCACCCCATTCCTCACCTCCGCACCCCACCCCTCCCCACCGCACTGCACCAGAGCAGTTCGCCTGTGGCCGCCATCATCAGCCCATCTGCTGGACCCCATGCCTCTGTACTCCGAATCATCCAATCACGTGTCAGCACCTGTCACCTGTCCTTTCCTCTTCCTTGCTTGAGTTGAATCTAGTTCTGAGGCATCTCAATCTTCCCCTCTCTCAAACTCTCTGCCTTTCTTTCTTTTTCTGATCATGTGTTCGTATTAATCTTCCTTCTCTCTAACCGCCCCCATGGGTGCCTCTTCTGCCGCTGCTGCTGCCTCTGCTGCCGCTGCTGCCTCTGCTGCCGCTGCTGCCTCTGCTGCCGCTGCTGCCTCTTCCTTTTCTCCACTAATTTCCTCCATGCGTGCTTTTGTTCGAAGTAAGCTTACAGAGCAGCTGATATCATCGCATTGTTCTTCTGAGTATGTTTTTCTCGAATTCTCAAAAGACATGCTCTGCTGATCATTGCATTGTTCTTCTGCAAATAAGTCTGTCACCTTCCTTCTCTCTCCCCTCCCTCTCTTATCTATTCCCTTATGTCTCCACCTCGTGTCCCTTGTCCTCTCGCCCTGCAGCCATCCGCACCAGTCACGTGTATGAAGATTCGTTTTGAAAAACAAGGGACAATGAAGATTTGTCACGTCTCGAAGCAAATCTTCATACTTATGTCTCCACCGCGTGTCCCTTGTCCTCTCGCCATGTAGCCATCCCCACCCGTCTCCTCTCCATCTCTCCTCAGCAACAGCAGCTGCAGCAGCCACTGCCTACCCCTCACCTCTCCATTTCCTTCCTGCCTATTCTCCTCCCCCATCTCCTGCCTCCGTGTTCTCTTGCCATGCAGTCATCCCCACCCGTCTCCGCTCCATCTGTCCCAAGAGGCAGCAGCGGCAGCAGCCACGGTGACTCTTCATGCGGGGGACGCGCTCTTCCTGCCTGAAGGCTGGTGAGCGGTGGGAGGGGGGGAGGGATAGCATGTCCTGCTGCTGATACTACATGGTTGCTTGGATTAGTGGTAGCAGCAGCGGCAGCCATGGTGACTCTGCATGCAAGGGACGCGCTCTTCTTGCCTGAAGTCTGGTGAGGGAGGGAAGGGGGGGGGGGGGGTGATGAGGGCAAGAGGTGCTAGTGCTGCTGGGTATCTGGCAGCACTGTGACTCTTGATGCTGGGGATGCACTCTTCCTGCCTGAAGGCTGGTGAGCGATGGCGTGGGAGGGAGGGGGTTGCGGGAATGAGAAGGTGGGCGGAGAGAGTGGTGAGGGCATGTGTTGCTGGTGAGGGCATGTGTTGCTGGTGCATGGATGGGCTGGGTCCCCATCGGCAGCAGCCACGGTGACTCTTGATGCGGGGGATGCGCTCTTCCTGCCTGAAGGCTGGTGAGCGGTGGGAGGGAGGGGGGGAAAGCATGTCCTGCTGCTACATGGTTGCTTGGTTAGTGGCAGCAGCCACTGTGACTGTTGTTGCAGGGGACGCGCTCTTGTTGCAGGGGACGCGCTCTTGTTGCAGGGGACGTGCTCTTGTTGCAGGGGACGCGCTCTTGTTGCCTGAAGGCTGGTGAGGGAGGAAGGGAGGGAGGGGGGAGTTAGGACGGGAAGGCGATTGGTGATGGCTTGTGCTGCTTGTGAGTGGTTGGGTTACTGGTAGCAGCATCAACTTCAGTGTTGGCAGCAGCTGCCACCATGCCGTCATGCCATCATGCCATCATGCTACCATGCTACCATGCCACCATGCCACCATGCCACCATGCCACCATTCCACCATGCCACCATGCCACCATGCCACATGCCACCATGCCACTATGCTACTACTTGCAACCATGCTGTGGCATGCTTGCAGGTACATGTGTGCAGGTACCACCAGGTTACCAGCACACCAGCCACCATGCCATCATGCTAATACTTGCAACCATGGCGTTGCGTTGCATGCTTGCAGGTACCACCAGGTTACCAGCATACCAGCCACCATCGCCATCAACTTCTGGTGGCCCTCCTTAGTGTGCCTCTCGTTTGGATCACACATGGACCTCTATTACGCAAGGAGAGTGCTCACAAGGTGTGACGTGTGTGATTAGTGTGTTCTTTCCCGACCTTTGGTTCACTCTTTAGTGTGCCCCTCGTTTGTGTGCCTCTCGTTTGGGTCACACCTGGACCTCTACTCTCCAAGGAGATTGCTCACAAGTTGATAAACTTCACTGTGATTCACTAGGTTTGTGATTACCTGATAGGTCCTATAGGGCATGAATGGTGCACGGCGCACTAATTCAACACATCCCGTTCCGCAATCTATTTCTCTGCGTGAACTTCTGTTTCTCCCGTTCTCCATCCCCTTTTCCCTGCCACTCCCCCCTCCCTTTTCCTTTTCGTGCCCCTCCCCTACATGCTCTGCTGGTTGAAGCCTGCTCGAAGCTCATAAGGTGTGTACTGTATGTTTTTCGAGAGAAAAAAAAAAACACACACACACAAAAGGTGTGTACTTCTCTTCAGGTTGAAGCCTGCTCGAAGCTCATAAGGTGTGTACTTCTCTTCATTCTCCTCATAAGCCTGCTTGTTTCTCTCTCACGAATGCTAAAAATTCCTCATCGTTCCAACAAGTTGACTCATTTTCTGAGCCGCCCGCCCAAAAACAAAACTTGTTCGCACACACAATTGACTGGTGTGACGGTCTTTGCTTTTCTTGGCATTCGCTTTGTTCCTATGTGGCTGGTCGCAGGAATGCACGGCAAAGCAAGCAGCACTGACAGACGCAGGAGGGGCGGAGGGTGAGGGTGCTCCTGTTGAGGTGCTTCAAAAGGCAGGAGCGGTGGAGGGTGAAGGAGGAGGGATCAATGGGCGAGGAGAAAAGCCGGCAGAGTTGCCGACCAATGTAGGAGGGACGGAGTGCGAAGGGGCTGCTTTTGAGGGGCGTGAAAAGGCAGGGGTGGTGGAGGGTGAGAGAGGAGGCAGCGACATTGGGCGATCAGAAATGCCAGCAGCAGCAGAGGTGACTTTTGAATCGATTGAAACGCTGACAGGAGGGGTGGGGCTTAAAGGAGAAGAAGGAGCAAGGGTGGAAGGGGGAAAAGGAAGGAGAGAGGAAGCAGGAAGCGAACGGAGGGAGGAAGAGGGGAAGGGAAGGAGGGAGGATTGGGGGAAGGGAAGGAGGGAGGAAGAGGGGAAGGGGAGGCGGGAGCTGATGGAAGGGTTGAGTGAGAGGGAAAGAAAGGCGGTGGAATCTCTTGTTCTTGCCGCTGCTGCTGCTTCTGCTGCTGCCGCTACTCCTCCAGCAGCTGCTTCTGCTGCTGCTCCTTCTGCTGCAGCTGCTGCTACCCCTGTTGCGGCTGCTGCTGCTCGTGCCTCTCCTGCTACTGGTGCTGCATCATTGGGGAAACGGAAGCCTGTTGGTGCGAGGAATGATGGGGGGAAACGTAGGCGAGAGGAAGGGAGGCACAAAGGCAAGGAGGGTAGTGAGGTGGGTGGTGAGTCAAAAGGGAAAGGAAGAAAGAAGAAGAGGGGGGAGTGGGAGGAGATGCAAGAGGAGGAAGAGGGGGAACATGAGGAAGAGGAGGACGAGGAAGAGGAGGAGGAGGAAGAGGAAGAGGAGGAGGAGGAAGAGGAAGAGGAGGAAGTGGAGAAAAAAAGAAACGACATTTTTTCGAGAGTGGAGACTGTGATTGCTGCTCTACACCCGGCCTCACTACGCAATGTGCTCCTAGTCATGGCTGTACGTAATTTCTGAGACTTGTCCAAAATCACTCAAAAGGGCTGTACGTGCTTCGAGAGTGGAGGCTGTGATTACTGCTTTGCCGCCAGCCTCTCTACGCAATGTACGTGCTTCCATGGCCCTCATGTACTTCTAGTCATGGCTGTATGTAATTTCGGAGACTGCTCATAAATCGCTCACAAGGGCTGTACGTGATTTGTAAGGGGCGGCTGTGACTGCTGTGTTGCCCCCGGCCTCGCTGCGCAATGTGCTTCTAGTCATGGTTGTACGTGCTTTGTAAGGGGCGGCTGTGACTGCTGTGTTGCCCCCGGCCTCGCTGCGCAATGTGCTTCTAGTCATGGTTGTACGTGATTTGTAAGGGGCGGCTGTGACTGCTGTGTTGCCCCCGGCCTCGCTGCGCAATGTGCTTCTAGTCATGGTTGTACGTGATTTGTAAGGGGCGGCTGTGACTGCTGTGTTGCCCCCGGCCTCGCTGCGCAATGTGCTTCTAGTCATGGTTGTACGTGCTTTGTAAGGGGCGGCTGTGACTGCTGTGTTGCCCCCGGCCTCGCTGCGCAATGTGCTTCTAGTCATGGTTGTACGTGCTTTGTAAGGGGCGGCTGTGACTGCTGTGTTGCCCCCGGCCTCGCTGCGCAATGTGCTTCTAGTCATGGTTGTACGTGCTTTGTAAGTGGCGGCTGTGACTGCTGTGTTGCCCCCGGCCTCGCTGCGCAATGTGCTTCTAGTCATGGTTGTACGTGCTTTGTAAGTGGCGGCTGTGACTGCTGTGTTGCCCCCGGCCTCGCTGCGCAATGTGCTTCTAGTCATGGTTGTACGTGCTTTGTAAGGGGCGGCTGTGACTGCTGTGTTGCCCCCGGCCTCGCTGCGCAATGTGCTTCTAGTCATGGTTGTACGTGATTTGTAAGGGGCGTCTGTGACTGCTGTGTTGCCCCCGGCCTCGCTGCGCAATGTGCTTCTAGTCATGGTTGTACGTGCTTTGTAAGGGGCGGCTGTGACTGCTGTGTTGCCCCCGGCCTCGCTGCGCAATGTGCTTCTAGTCATGGTTGTACGTGCTTTGTAAGTGGCGGCTGTGACTGCTGTGTTGCCCCCGGCCTCGCTGCGCAATGTGCTTCTAGTCATGGTTGTACGTGCTTTGTAAGGGGCGGCTGTGACTGCTGTGTTGCCCCCGGCCTCGCTGCGCAATGTGCTTCTAGTCATGGTTGTACGTGCTTTGTAAGGGGCGGCTGTGACTGCTGTGTTGCCCCCGGCCTCGCTGCGCAATGTGCTTCTAGTCATGGTTGTACGTGCTTTGTAAGGGGCGGCTGTGACTGCTGTGTTGCCCCCGGCCTCGCTGCGCAATGTGCTTCTAGTCATGGTTGTACGTGCTTTGTAAGGGGCGGCTGTGACTGCTGTGTTGCCCCCGGCCTCGCTGCGCAATGTGCTTCTAGTCATGGTTGTACGTGCTTTGTAAGTGGCGGCTGTGACTGCTGTGTTGCCCCCGGCCTCGCTGCGCAATGTGCTTCTAGTCATGGTTGTACGTGCTTTGTAAGTGGCGGCTGTGACTGCTGTGTTGCCCCCGGCCTCGCTGCGCAATGTGCTTCTAGTCATGGTTGTACGTGCTTTGTAAGGGGCGGCTGTGACTGCTGTGTTGCCCCCGGCCTCGCTGCGCAATGTGCTTCTAGTCATGGTTGTACGTGATTTGTAAGGGGCGTCTGTGACTGCTGTGTTGCCCCCGGTCTCGCTGCGCAATGTGCTTCTAGTCATGGTTGTACGTGCTTTGTAAGTGGCGGCTGTGACTGCTGTGTTGCCCCCGGCCTCGCTGCGCAATGTGCTTCTAGTCATGGTTGTACGTGCTTTGTAAGGGGCGGCTGTGACTGCTGTGTTGCCCCCGGCCTCGCTGCGCAATGTGCTTCTAGTCATGGTTGTACGTGCTTTGTAAGGGGCGGCTGTGACTGCTGTGTTGCCCCCGGCCTCGCTGCGCAATGTGCTTCTAGTCATGGTTGTACGTGCTTTGTAAGGGGCGGCTGTGACTGCTGTGTTGCCCCCGGCCTCGCTGCGCAATGTGCTTTTAGTCATGGCTGTACGTGCTTCCCTTGAAAAAAACATTTTCTGCGCATCTCATGTGATATGATATACACCTACAAATTCAGCCAATATACTCTGTCTCTCCCCTGCCTCCCTTTGATGAGTCGGTTTTTGAGTCGACTCAAAAACCGACTCAAAATCCGACTCATCACTCAATTTTAGCCTATATGCTCTGTCTCTCCCCTGCCTCCCTTTTCCTCCCTACAGTGCGCCTTCACACCGTCCTCACACCTTCTGCTGGTGCAATGTATCTCTCCTTCCCTCCTCACCTTTTCATCCTCCACGCTTTCTATACAATGACCTGACACTATTCTTGCTCTTTCTCTTCCTCCCCCCCTCCCCCCCCCCCCTCCCTCCTTCCTCCCTACAGCACGCCTTCCCCCTCTCCGCACATCATCTGCTGCACCACGCACTGTCGCCCCTCTCTGCTTTCCTCATCACCTCTCGCCTAGATGCCGATGCGGTGCCTCCATCCCTTCCCACTGCTGCCGCCACTGCTATTGCTGACACTGCCACTGCCACCGCCGCCGCCACCGCCACTGCCGCCACTGGTGGTTGGGACCATGCTGCTGCTGCTGTTAGCACAGCTGACACTGCTCCCTATGGCAATGGCAACAGCAGTGGAGTTAACAGCAGCACCAGCAGCAGCAGCAGCAGCAGTGGCGGAGGGTTCTTTGAGGAGTTTTACGATGCTCTTCCTGATCCCGCCTCTGCAGCTGCTGCAATACTGCGAGGCGTGGAAGAGCACAACAAAAAGGTCAGTCGAATGGAGCAAGATGTCCTTTTGAGTTCTACAATGCGCTTCCTCATCCCGCCTCTGCAGCGGCAGCGATACTCCGAGGCATGGAAGAACACAGCAAACAGGTCAGCTAGTTGGCTGGTTTGCAGCAAGCAAAGTCACAGCTTCTGCATCAAAAGTCACAGCTTCTGCATAAAAAAACACAGCTTCTGCATCACAAGTCACAGCTTCTGCATCACAAGTCACAGCTTCTGCATCACAAGTCACAGCTTCTGCATCAAAAGTCACAACTTCTGCATCAAAAGTCACAACTTCTGCATCAAAAGTCACAGCTTCTGCATCAGAAGTCACAACTTCTGCATCAACGGCTGCCGCAATCCTCAAAGGCGTGGAAGAGCACAGCAAACAGGCCACAGGGCAGCTTTTTAAACGAAGTGTGTTTTGAAGCCATGTGATAGCAGTAGTGCTTTGAGACGTCTCAAAGAGCACAGCAAACAGGTCAGAGGGCAGCTATTTGAATGAAGTGTCTTTTGAAGCCAAATGGAGCAAGGTGCGCGCAATTCCAGTCAGCCATTGATCGACTCAACTGCTGTGTTCGCCCTTGCTTGGCACGAACACTCAACTTTTGAGGCGCCTCAGAAGTCGATTCCAGTCAGCCATTGGTCGACTCGACTGCTGTGTTCGCCCTTGCTTGGCACGAACACTCAACTTTTGAGGCGCCTCAGAAGTCGATTCCAGTCAGCCATTGGTGGACTCAACCGCTGTGTTCGCCCTTGCTTGGCACGAACACTCAACTTTTGAGGCACCTCAGGCCATTGGTCGACTCGACTGCTGTGTTCGCCCTTGCTTGGCACAAACACTCAAGCCTCCCCTCAAAAGCACCTCCAAACATACCGTACCTGCCTTCTCATCGGAAAACTTCGGATCCCTGCCACTTCTACCTGCCACTTCTACCTGCCACTCACCCTGCAACCCCCATCCCTCCGCCCCTCTCCCCTCAACCCTCCTTGCAGTCGCTGAAAGAGGTGGTGGAGCTGGTCTGTGCGTTTGAGTCAAGACCCGAGTAGGAAAAACCTGCAGGTGTATAATGGGAGTCTTGTTAATTACAGAAATTATACCCATGCAATGGAACCTGTATCAGTCTCCAAAATCAATGACCTGGAACTGTTATTTCATAACACTATCTTTCCACTTGTTGGAAACAATAAGTCCTAAGTGCGCTTCTGTCGTATCAAAATCCAAGGCACCAAGCGAAGCAGTCCCAATCGAAGCATCGAGTCAACCTCGGAGGTTAGGGTAACCGCCTGGAGGTTACGAGAAAGTCAAAGGTCGCTGACCTTTGACTCGACAATTACAGCGCGACAGTTAAGGACACACAACTGACTCGTTACAGAGCAGTTGCCCGAGTCGCACTATATCGAACCGCAACAGCAATACAGTTATCTATCTATCTATTCGTATTCCCTGTACTCTTATATAAATCCTTGTACTTGCTTGTTTAATTCAATCTACTTTGCTCTCACACACCAGTGCAAGGTCGGTTCACAATCCTCATTAAAACGCTTCCGCTATTACAAGTTTCTACCCAAGAGTTCTCCTCTGCAAAGATCCTAAGGGCTATTTTCAGCCCAACATGGTATAAGGAGCTGACAGGGGAAAACTCTAACTTTTTTATCATTACAAGACATGGCAACAAACAAGGAAAGGAGCTCCCCTAATGGCTCCTCGGGCACTACTCCTACTCCACCGCCAGCCTCTGGCCTGCAGACAGAGGAAGGCACGGCAGCAAGACCAAGGGGAACGTCAACCGAGACCCCCACGAACCATCCTCCTGACTTCGACCAGAGCATGATGGAGAATTTTTTCTCCTTCATGTCCTTCTACGAGCAACACCAGCAGTCGGGACCTGCACAGACACACAACAGCAACAACGGAGCGACACCCATGAGCCTTGACGGGTCGTCATACGCGCGAGGGAATCAACAGCAGCAACCCACCTTCGCCCCGTACGAACGCGGGTCGATCAGCTTCCTGCCTCAACCTCCACCTGCGCAAGACAAACCAATGGATGCCTTACAAGTACAGTCGCAGTTCGCGCATGTTCTGAAACTACAGACTGTCAGAATATTATCTTATCGTTCTAGCCTGTAGTGGGGTGCTCTATAGCGAGTACAACCCTTCTAGGGTTTGCTATTTGTATCCTCATTCTTGCTAGTTCAACCCTCTTTCTTTCTTCTAATTTTGTCATGCTATCAGAGCAGGTCGATCCCCTTGGATCGATCCTGTGGGTGGGTTACCACCTCGCTTCCGCTGCTACCTTTCCTTTCCCGCCGTGCGCCCCGAGGCGCGCGGCGGTTTTCCTTCCCGCCGTGCGCCCCGAGGCGCGCGGCGGTTTTCTTCCCGCCGTGCGCCCCGAGGCGCGCGGCGGTTTTCTGCCCGCCGTGCGCCCCGAGGCGCGCGGCGGTTCATTGCCCGCTGTGCGCCCCGAGGCGCGCGGCGGGCTTCTCCCCTACGTCGCGGCCCCGCCCCGATCGTCGCGGCCCCGCCCCTCGACGCGGCCCCGCTCTACGTCGCGGCCCCGCCCCGGCCCGTCGCCGCCCGTGCGCCTGCCCGGCTCGGCCCCGCCCTTCGTCGCGGCCCCGCCCCAGCCCGTCGCCGCCCGTGCGCCTGCCCGGCTCGGCCCCGCCCTTCCTTCGCGGCCCCGCCCTACGTCGCGGCCCCGCCCTATGTCGCGGCCCCGCCCCGACCGTCGCGGCCCCGCCCCTCGTCGCGGTCCCGGCCCCGTCCCCCCCCCCCCCCCCTTTCTCCCCTCCCCCCCATTTCCCGTCGCCCGTCGCGGCTCCTTCGGGGGCCGCGCGCTGTGGGGTGGCAGGTATGGGGGTGGCCAGTGTACTTTCCTCCCTTTGCTCCTCCTCCTCCTTCGTCTCCCACTGCTGCAGCTGTCGCTGAGGGGGGTGGTTGTGTGGGAGACTGGGTTTAGGGTTTAAGGGGGGTGCGTGGGAGTGGAGCTAGCGGTGTAGCAGTGGGTGTGTATCAGGGGGGTGGGACTGTTCGCGGGAGGTTGAGCGGAGGCTGCCGGCTTGTCGTCCGCAGCACCTGTAGTCCGGGGCGCTGTCCCGGTAGCCCAGTCGTAGCCAGCTGTGCCAGCCGCCCGTGGGTCCATTGCCCGTCCGCCGCTATTTGAGCCGCGGGGCCTGTTACTCCTGTAGTTCGGGCGCTGTCCGGTAGCCGCTGTGCCAGTCTGCCTCCTGTTGCCCGTGTGTCTGCAGCTTCAGCCGTCGCCTCCTGTCTCCTCTCCCCTCACTCTCCCTTCTCCTCCTCACTTGCCCGTTGTGACTACCACTAGCTTTGCTTATAATTGTGAACTCTAAACTAATTCTTCTTGAACTTGTGCTCAGAATGTGTGGTGACATTGTGATCCACCCTGAGCTTGTTTTGCTTTGCCTGCTCTGCTGATTACACCCCACTTTGGCTATGGGGGTGTGTCAGAATATTATCTTATCGTTCTAGCCTGTAGTGGGGTGCTCTATAGCGAGTACAACCCTTCTAGGGTTTGCTATTTGTATCCTCATTCTTGCTAGTTCAACCCTCTTTCTTTCTTCTAATTTTGTCACAGACGTCAAGACCTTTCGACGAAAAGGACTTCTTTACCTGGTCCTTTGAATTCGAGTTGATGATGGAGGGCGCGCAGATACTCGGCTTCTTCGACGGATCCCTGCAAGATCCAGCAAACGGGACACAGTATGAAAAGCAGCAGTATACGTATCAATCCATGATGGCGTATACTATTCTACTGAGAAACATCACACCAACCCAGCAGCAGAACATTCGCTCTTACCGGAACTTCGGCAACTCGGCGGAACTCGCGTACGGCCATCTGAAGAACCTGTACCAGGCAACAGACAGTGTAAACCAGAGCAGGTTAATGGCGCAGCTGACAACAGTTGAAATGAAACCAGGAGAAAAAGGGTTGGCGTATATCAGCCGATGTCGCGAATTGCGCGACAAGCTTCTTCGATGTGGAGGGTCAATCTCTGAAGACGCCTTCGTAACAGTCGTCATCGGCGGCCTCGGTCCTCAGTGGCGCGCCACCAAAGCAATTCTTCGAGCACACGGGAGGATCTCCGAAGCGGCACTTTGCGCAGAAATTCACGCCGAGCAGCAGGATATGGACCTGCAAGAAGAAAGACACAAGAAAAGGACATTAGCACCGGAGTTTGCTTTCCATACTCAGCGACGACACAACTACTACAACAATCGACAGCAGCAGCCGAAGCTAGTACCTCCATTTTGTCACATCTGCAAGACATCAGGACACCCACGCACGCACTGCCCGTCTCGACAGACAACACCACAGCGACAACTGCGGCCTTCAAGCACCCAAGTTGCTTCGACACAAGCAAGCTCGACAACCACGATTCAAGCTTCAACGACCTCAACTGGACAACCTGCACAAGGAGCAAGACATATAGTCAACTGCATGGTCAAGATAACCGACTCTTGCATAACAGAGTCACCACCCCATTACTCACCGGAAGAGGAGCTCGACAACAGGACGCCTCGTCGCGAATCACTCCATCCAAATCCGACTTACGCTGCTATCGCTCAAAGCGAACCGTCCGGCCAAGACACCTGGTTCTTGGACAGTTGCTGCGGGCAACACATGTGCTCGTCCGGGCGTTTCGTACAACGCGAACATCGACTCCAACGGGAAGTGATCATCACGGTTGCCAACAACCAAAACCTGCGCACACGAAGACAAGGAGTGGTACAGCTTCAGTCAAGAGAAACAAATGTCATACTGCACATGTCTAAGGTACTCATCGCTGAAGGACTCGGCTACAACTTACTGAGCGTTAGCCAGTTGATGGCGAAAGGAATTCATCTGGAAGCCGACAGCACGACCCAGGAGTTCAAGCTTTACCACGGGAGAGGCGGTCTCTACATCGGGAAAGCAGTGCTGAAGAACAACGTCTTCGTCCTCGACTTCGCTCCAGACCTCGGCACTGCAGACAGCGACGCCATTGTGAACTTTGCTGATTGGACACACCCTCCGGATCTCGACCCCGACTTCAGCCCGGGAGGTTTCTGGTACTCCCACACTATCCCTGAAGCAGAACGAACAAGAGCGTTAGCAACGATTCAACAAGAAGCAGCAGCGACAACATCGGCAGCAGCGAAAACATCGGCAGCAGCAACAACATCGGCAGCAACGATTCAACAAGAACCAGCAGCAACAACATCGGCAGCAGCAACAACATCAGCAGCAGCAGGAACAACGACACCAGTCACAGTCGACGAAGCACCACCAACACCCGCGCAACAGCTGAATCCGACTCAACGTGAAGTCCACCGAAGCGCCAACCTCGTCGCCAGCTTCTACTCCAACTCCGACGCATATCAGCGCTCACCCGGACACCGCGCCTCTGAAGAGATCTGGCACGCACGCACAGGACATCCAAGCAACACGGTTTTGAATAACACGATAAGAGCAGGAGTCCTTGACAAAGACTCTCTACTTCTACCCGATGGCAGAGAACTTCAGAAGGCACGAGGGACTTGCCTTATATGTCCCGAAGCTGACTTACCTCATCGACCGTTTGCTTCACATCACAACCCGAGCGCTCCAGCGTACGCACCACTCGAAAAAGTCTACAGCGACATCCTCTACAATCGCGAACCAGGACAAGTCAACTACAACTACACCATCACCTTCATCGACGCCGCCACTCGATACGTCTGGCATCGCAACCTACCCAGCCGCGACATGGCGCTCGCAGCATTCGCCGCCTGGCTACCGATAGCAGAGAGAGAGTCTGGAACACAACTGAAAAATTTCTAGTCAGACGGAGGTGGCGAGTACACCTGTCAGCGCTTCAAGCAGTTCTTGGCGGAAAGGGGGATCAAGCAACTCCTCTCCCTTCCCTACGCACATCAGCAGCAAGGTGTTGCAGAACGACTGAACAGGACCCTGCAGAACAGCATGCGCAAACTGCTACGTGGCATGCGGCTACCCAACCACCAGTGGCCAGCAGCAATGGACCACGCTGTCATGCTGCACAACTTG